AAAGTCATAGAACAGCTAAAGATTAGCTAATTATCATGCAAATTAGGTAATTAACGAGCATGGATTTTTACCAAAACCTAATCAAATCTGCGCATTGGCCCAGAGCATCTATGCACCAAGTTTCATCAAAAACCGATGTATGGTTCTGGAGATAGCAGTGGAACAGTCGGACACACATACACACACACACACACATACACACATACACACATACACACATACACACATACACACATACACACACACATACAGACACACTAACTGCAAAGACTCCCATTTTGTGCTTCGCACATGGGAGTCAAAAAAACTTCTGTAGTAAGTTTTTTGTGTTGAATTATCACAATCAAAGTCTCAGAGACTTACAACATTACAGGTAATTTCATTGTTCCCAAAATAACAAGTTATGACATGACATATTCTTCTTCATGCAAATGTAAACCCAATTTTAACATTTGAAACAGAAACTGAAATGAATGCATGTCAATATGTGTGAAATGATAACATATGCGTATAGTTTGAATGTGATCAGGCCACCATGTCTGAGATACAGGTGCTAGCAGCCCATACATGGATACACTAAAGAGGAACTCGAAATATCCATTTTTGAACAGTGACTAAATATTGATTTGAGTTCAATTGTAATGAGAATCAGAAATCAGAACAACAATATACAGATGGTATTTTAAAATCAGCAGATATTGCTTTAGACAACAGTCACAATATCTTAATTTTATCTACCTAATCTTTTTTAAATATACCGGTACTTTGAAAATCAATATTACACAAATAAACTTACAAAATATAAAATAAAATAATTCCATGCAGTTTTGAAACATAATCACACATTAATACACATGAAATACTCACACAAAGGCTGTGCCTGTTGCCACTGCAACTGCACTACCCCCAGAACTACCACCACTGACAAACCAATCAGATCCATCAGTACCAGTCACATGACTATGTGGTGATCTGGTTCTTCTTTTGATTGGTTCATTCGTCGTCAAAGGTGATTGTGAAGCATGTTTCTCCTTATATGGGTATTTCCAGGGATTCCTAACTGGTCCATGTATACTCTCTATGCTGCCAGATCTAAATAGATGGAACAGGAATTAATAATTTATTATTATTAATAATAGATAAGTCATCAATTTTATGTATTAAAAATGATGGTGATTGGTGCCAAATTATTTATTCATTACAATATAAATATACTCACAAATAAAACATTCATATAAAGTTTTAAGGATACACGTAAAACATGTACCAATTTGTCTGTGCACAACTGAGATCCAGATCGAGAATTACAGAACTGTAATTTGGCCATCTTGAATCGTATCACCAAGTGAATAAATATGCACATGTGTGACATGATGTATTTATAAAGTTTGAACATGATCTGTCATGGCATGTCTCAGACAGCATTCATTGAAACATAAATAAGCCTACCAGTCAGCCATTTTTAATCCAATCCGAAAAATAAAAAATAATTTCCATCAAGATCCCATAATGTCTGATCTGTGTGCCAAGTTTGATAAAATCTGTCCATACACATCCAAGATCCAGTAAACGTGCATTTGTATTCCAATAATGTATTGCAATAAACGTGCATTTGTATTCCAAGATGCATGATGATCTAGGCATATCTACGATACAGATGAAAATGGGGATCATAAAACGGTATTGTAGTTAATACAAAATATAAGTTAGGTATAGTAACTTACCCCATCGCAAACTCATCTAAGTTGGTTTTACCCATTAACACAGCACCATTATCTAATAGTCTCTGCACAACTGTGGCTGTATAGGGAGGAACATAATCTGAAACAAAACAAAGCAAATGAAAATAGTAAATAACCATGTTATATTGACAAAGATGATTAACACAGTATATAACTAGAGAGTACATGTATTACAATATTTAATAGAATGTCATTAATAACTATTTTGAGTTTTGAATAATTAATTTTCATCCAAATTCTTAAAGATGTACTTATGTTCCTAAAACCTAACATGAATTTTATAGACCAATATTAAAAGGACCTGGTCCTTTAAAGACAGGTAAGTTAAACTATTCGGGAAAGCCTAGAATTTCTGAGCTTTTCAACACCCTAAACAATAAAATATAGCCTGCTAATCTTAGCTATCTGATTATAAATATGCAAAATTATTTAACTGCCCAATAATTGAAAAGCAAGTTGTTTCAGATTTCACCAGTCCATAGTATGTGACATTTGAATATATTTGCATGGGTAATAAGCTAACCTGACAAATGAACTGGGAGTATTTTACTTCCCATGATTCTGATTTGACAGCCCAAAGTATGTGACATTTGAATATATTTGAATTGCTAATAAGCTAAACTGACCAATGAACTGGGAGTATTTTACTTCCCATGGTTCAGATTTGACAGCCCAAAGTATGGGACATTTGAATATATTTGCATGGCTAATAAGCCAAACTGACCAATGATCAGAGAGTATTTTTCTTCCCATGGTTCGGATTTGACAGCCCATAGCATGTGACATTTGAATATATTTACATGGCTAATAAGCTAAATTGACCAATGAACAGAGAGTATTTTACTTCCCACAGTTCAGATTTGACAGCCCAAAGTATGGGACATTTGAATATATTTGCATGGCTAATAAGCCAAACTGACCAATGATTAGAGAGTATTTTTCTTCCCATGGTTCAGATTTGACAGTCCATAGCATGTGACATTTGAATATATTTGCATGGCTAATAAGCTAAACTGGCCAATGAACAGAGAGTATTTTACTTCCCATGGTTCAGATTTGACAGCCTAAAGTATGTGACATTTGAATATATTTGCATGGCTAATAAGCTAAACTGACCAAAGAACAGTGAGTATTTTACTTCCCACAGTTCAGATTTGACAGCCCATAGTTTGTGACATTTGAATACATTACATGGGTAATAAAACTAACCCACCATCTATGCAAACCATCAGGTTGCAGAGACCTAGTGCATGGAATACAGACTAGTATTTAGGAGTAAAGTACACATGGTCTTGATGCTAGACGGAAGTTTGATATTTGCAGTATCAAAAATTAGCTATTCTCAAATTAACATAAAGAAATGAAATTTATTAACAATGTGTTGTACTTACTTCTTAAAATATTTGATGCACATGTAGTTCTGATATTTGTAGTACTGAAATTGTCTTTAACTGCTATTGGTATACCATCTAGAACACCTTTACTTCTGCCTGGAAATCATTTACAATAACATTGACTGTTACATTATACATGTATGTCCTGTTTGATGTGACGAAGAAATGCAATAGTATGATGTTTACTTAACATTTGCATAGTGATCATGGTTTAAGCATAGACCTTAAAAATGGTCTATGGTTTAAGCAACACACAAAAAATAGCATATTGGGGTAGGCAATTTCCTTTGGAATTAGCACTTTCTTAGAAAATAAGAAAATATAATTTAATTAATTAGTTTAAACATTAATATCCATGCCAAAAAACTGCATGCTGTAAATGTTTTAATTATTTACTGGTTTTTAATTTCACTCTTTTCTTTGATAAGTGGGATTTCCTAAAATAAAAATGAAAATAGATGGTTTTAGAGTATCGTGCAATTAAAGACCATCATGTTGTTAATGAAATGAAAAATGAATAAATAAAAAATGCAAATTGATATAATGCTTACCTTTCCTGAGTCTGCTATCAGACTTCTTCCCTTCTTGCAAAGCAATATCATGAGTCTCTGTTACATAGGCATTTAACACTCTTAACTGCTTGGCTCTCTGAATACACTTTTTACACAGCTCTTCAGCAGAAAGATGACCATCTTTTAACTTTGATGCAATCTGAAAAATACATCTCAAAACAATTACTACACTTAAAACTCAAACAAACAATTAAGAATGATACCCAGTTCTGAACTTCATACACAACCCAGATTGTAAATATCTTTTTATTTAGTGATTTCGACCTCTACAATTCTTTTTCTGAGCTGCTCTTGCATGGGACAACACATCAACTGAATGAAAGCAGGGCTGCCTTGAAGCAACAAATTTGAAACAATTCTTCTTATACACAAACCCATAACTGTTATCCCATTCTAACACTAATTCTTATTGCTCCAATTCTTGGCATTTTCACCACCTGGTAACAATTACGATGAAAACAGAGGCCAAAAACTTTCAGAAAACTGTACTTTGGGATGGTTGTTGAGTATCCACTGAACAGCGTAACAAGATTACCCCTACATGTACAACATATATAAATTTTGTTGATCAGGATTACTTCAAAGTTGAGTTTGTGCTGTTTCCCTAATTAGTTGTTTTCATCGGCTCTTCTTCTAAAATGTTGTCCTTGTGTATTGTGGAATTAAATAAAGTGATGAATCCACATTCTATTATTTATTGCATGTAAACCCCAAACCAAACGACTTAACCCCAGATGACCCCTTATGATACTTATTTCCAATCAAGTGCAATTCTTTAGATGAGTGCGCAGATCCTCAGATTACCCACAATGCTATGTATTTTTCTAATAGATATTGGCTGGTAAAAGTTTGGTAAATGTCACCAGTACACACAAATCTGTGGATATGCTTCATGCATTCTGAAAACATTAATTTTTTTCAAAATGTTTTTCTTTTTTCCTAATGTTTTAGTCAAATGTAAACAAAACTCAGTTCATATATGTCTAATGGCATAAACCACCAAAGAATTCTGGGTAATTTATTATGCTGCTGTTTCTACCAATCACATTGCAGGATTCACAATCTATATTTTCTGCATCGATTCAACCATAGACCTTCGAAAACAGGGACCACAAGACGGCACCAGCGAGATTCGAAAGCCAACCGTTCAGTCAAAACCAAAGCAGTTAGCCAATTCGCTAGCGAATTTGCAAATTGGCTGCCCCAATACTTCTGAGACTTGCTATAACACACCTCTCTCAATAATGCAGATGGTTCAATATTAAAACCATAAAAGATGAGCTGCATGTGGATAGCCACTTAGATGCCTTTATTGAATATTCACACAACACCTCTGACCATTTTTGGTTTATTCATGAAAGAAGCATAATGAATTTGCAGCAAGCTACATACATCTGTTGCAATAGACAGTAATATTATTGATTAATAACTTATTAGGTTTTCACAAAAACATTGTTCATGATCACTAATATAAGAGTTGTCTCGTCTCGAGTCGGGCCAGGTTTAATACATAACCCTAATTATTAGCACTATAATAATTACATACTATATACAATAAGTACCATTTATACTGCATATATGGATGCAGGGATGTAAAACAAAATCTAATTTTACCTCCGTGATCATTGTCATCCTACGTATAACTGAACCCTGACTCCAACACTCCAACCCCATTGTAATTAAATATGCCCCTCCAAATGATTACAAGTGACCCAAAGAAGGCATTTAAAACAACTGAAATAGAGGAGGGGTACTGGAGGGGCAGGGTTAGGATTAGTTCATGAGCAAGTGGGCCCTAAGGAACCGTTACGCGTTACCTGTTGATCGGGCTGAATGACGATGTTCCTACACGGCGGCTGTCGGATCACTTGTCAGAATGATACTAACTACCGACATCTCGTTCATGATCATACGATCATCAATGTATATCACATATATTTACAATAACTGAAACTACTGACGACTAAACAGTGCAAGAAATATTACGATTACCTCTCGAATACTCATTCCCAACATTTTCACGTGTTGTTTCTCAAGATGGCGTCTGCTATGACCTTTGACCTGCTGAAGTTTCGAAGTAAAATATTTTTAGTTGTGCAATATCCTGATAATCTACTTATTGATGTTTCCATATTTGAAAATATTCTTTCCAATAAAAATGATTTGGGATAGGCATAAAATCTCGTATTACCATCCGTCAACTGAAGGGGCAAAAGTTCAAAGGTTAGAGTTCAAAACAAGGTTTGCTGCTTTTGTGAACTCAGTTTGTATATCTCACAGGGACCTAACGGTATATCTATTTAAACTCGTCTTTTTTGTCTATTTTTGTTCAGTATTTATTAGTAAATAAGGACTTCGAATAATCCAGAAGACGTACTTTGCAAATCATGTAAAAATAACATCTGAACAGTCGAATATTTTAATCGGTCGAATCTTCCTGAAATTGACAAACCACGCTTTTCCTTCAACGTTTGCCCTGCCCACCAATCGAGTACGTTGAGTCAAAAGACACATGTAATCCAGTGATGTCATCTTACGTAATTACACGTGTCACTTGGGTTCTACAACTTGGAAGCATACGATGCTTTGCGCGCAGCATGACGTCACTGCCAACGCAGATGAAAGCTTGGCAGATTCATAAGTACGGGGATAACAGAGTACTAGAATTGCAAAATACACGTGTACCTGTCATTTGCAAACCAAATCAGGTCATTGTCAAGGTTCACGCTGCCAGTATTAACCCTGTGGATATAGCAAATAGAGGTAAAGTTATTAACTAATTAATTAATTCCATTTTGTTAATTTTTGTACTAATATTATGCGCCAGTCTATGTAAGCTGAAAATATCCCACCGTCTGGGGCAAATTGGAAATCTGAACACTCCAGCCCCCCAAATTGTAATTCAGTATGCCTTTCCAAATAATTATAAGTGACCCAAAGTAGGGTATATACAATTGAAAATGGGGAGGGATAGGGATAGGGTTAGAATTAGAGTTACCCAAAAGAACTCTTACTAAAAATGCAATAGTCCCATCCTAGAGGCCTAATCCACGCCCCCTCGAAACAAGCTTCGTCGCTTTTAGTTTGGTCTTGACAAGCTGAAAATTTACTGCTATTTGCCCTGTAGTGCTATAGTCTGGTTACTATCTATAATTTTCATAGGTTCTCTCCATGCTAGTCGAGAAAGGTTGATGTTGCTTATTAACTATGTAAATTTATTCTAACATCATGAAGAAAGGGGCAGTCTCAATTTAATATTTGCAGCAACTATCAATTGATACAGCACATACAGGGCACTTATAACTGTCGTCCATGGTTACTGACTTTAGCATAGTCAGATTAGTGGTGTGCTATATTTATCAACCAATCAACATACAGTTATCCATTGACCATATAAGCAAATTTGAAACAACATTTCCAGACTAGTATGGAGGAGAGAAGAACCCATGACATTTATTGGAAGATAACCAGAATCTGTAGTGCCTAATTATCCCCTTTATTTTTTATTATCCCTATTTTTTATAGCTATTTTTGTTTGTTTGTGATTATTTTTTTGGTTTTAGCTACTGTTCTTAAGTTTCTTTTATATCAAAAACTACAATAAAAAAATATGAAAATTGAAAAATTAAATAAAAAGAAAAAAATTACCTTAATCAGATTGGCTGGAGCCATTGTTCAAATCCTGATGTCATAAAATCTGCAGCTAGCAATGACGGTCTCTTTAGTTATGATTTTTTTTTGTTAAATTCAGGTGGTTATGGCCGACAAATACTTTCAAAAATGAGGAGTGAAGGCAGTGGGGGTGACAGTTTTCCTATCACTCTAGGAAGAGACTTCTCAGGAGTTGTCATGAAAACTGGACAAGATGCAAAGAAGTTCAAATATGGTGATGAGGTTAGTATTGTCGCAATTTGAATAATTTAACGCATTTCGTGCTCAAATCCTTTACAGATGAATGGTAAATATAAGCCTACTCACCACCAGACTGTCTTGCCCAAATTATTATGCACTTTTTTTTCTATATTCTTCAATATTTCTGCAAATTACCTCCAATTTTGGAGCCAACACACAAAATTTCGATCAATTTTCAGTTTTTACTCAAAAAGTTTGCTATTTGTATCCCAATGTTCTGAAGGGAAATGCAGACTATAAATGGGACTATTTTGTGATGAAGAGAGGGAACTGGTGGTGAAAAGGTTAAAAGATCTCAACCACTGGAATTGTATCTAGAATTAAATTACATGGATTACAGATTTATCATTGATCTCATACCTTCACTTCCATGCAAACTTGATGTATATTATAGAAAAGAACATCTGGGGTATTTTGTGTTCCACAGTAGATTGTATTGTCACTAAAAATAGCAACAATGTTCATTTTTTATTGTTACAAATCAGGGATTGAAATAGAATTTTTTCCTAGCATGCACAGTGTGCATGTTGAATTTGAAATTTACCTGCACTAACTTGTTGTGAAATGCACCACTTTTAAAGTTTAAATAAAATTTACGGTTTATCGATTGATGATTGATTTTTTAGTTGTCTTACAATGTTGGTTTAACTTAATTTAGGCTTAGTGAATATAATGAAAAAATTTCGTGTCAATTTCTACATGCACAGCGTGCACATTGTATTTTGAGTTTACTTGCACTAGTTAATAATCTTATGTGCATAGCACAGTGTGCACCAGAGTATTTCGACCCCTGCAAATTATGTATAGGAGTGGAGGCATATTTCTGAGAAACTTTAAGACTTTTCCTACGAGCGAGTGTATTGAGCCTTATGCTCCTTAACGGGCAGTGATTGTTGCACCGCACATGTTTGAATTTCGTGCACATCGATATGAGTCCCATATCAAACAGAAGGCAGCACGATGACCACCGCCCTTTAAAGATCAACACCATAGTGATAACAAAGGTAAAAATCATGGAAATAAAAATTTTTGCAATTTTTAGACTGCAATACATGTACCACCAGAAAGTGACAGAATGTGTGACCATTATATTCCAATTGCAGGTGTGGGGGATTTCATCATTCCAGAATCAAGGAAGTCATGCAGAATTTGTCTTAGTCTCTACAGATGAAATTTCTAAGAAACCAAAATGTCTGAATCACATTGAAGCTTCGTCTATGCCATATGTTGCCTTGACAACATGGGCTGCTCTTATTACATTTGGAGGACTAACCAAAGACACCACGCTTGATAAAAAGTAGGTATATTACTTATATTTTTGGCTGTAACATTGATTCCTCACAGAATTTTGATGCAGATCCTCATTATATTACATTTTTAGTCCCCGTTAGGACGCAGTCCGAAAATGGGGACTTATGTTTTGACTTCCGTGTGTGTGTGCGTGCGTGCGTGCGTGTGTGTGTGCGTGCGTGCGTCTGTGTGTGCGTCCGGACCTGTATCTTAGAAATGGCTGGACCAATCACAATCAAACTTCACACATACATCATACATGATATTATACATATGCACGTCAATTTGTTTCATGATCTAATTCAAGATGGCCGAATGGCGGCCATTTTTGTGCTAAAAAAACATCAAAATCGAGCATTTCTCGGCTGTTTACAGATGGATTTTGTTCAAACTTAGTATATACATTAGACATTATAGGACCTTGATGCACATCATTTTGTTTTATGATCTGATTCAAGATAGCCGAATGGCGTCCATTTTTGTGCTGAAAAATCCTAAAAATCAAGCTTTTCTCGGCTGTTTACAAATGGATTTTGTTCAAACTTGGTATATACATTAGACATTATGGGACCTTAATGCAAATAATTTTGTTTTTCAGATAAGATTCAAAATGGTTGACTGGCGGCCATTTTGTATCAAATGAATGTGGTTCTCGTGCCATATCTCTGACTTGCTTTCACTGATTATGTTCAAATTTTAAATATTCATTATACATCATGTCATAGATAGACAGATATATTGGTTTGACGATCCTATTCAAAATGGCCAAATGGTGGCCTTTTTTGTGCTAAACAATCATCAAATATCAAGCATTTCTGGCATTTATGGATGGATTTCGTTCACACTTTGTACATACATTAGACATTACGGGTTCCTGATGCATGGCATTTTTTTTTTTCAGATTGGATTCAAAATGGCTGACTGGCGGCCATTTTGTTTTAATGATTGGGCTTATAGAGCCTACTCTTAAATGCTTTGACTGATTATATTCAAATTTTATATATTCGTTATACATCATGTGATATATATACATGTATTCAAAATGGCTGATTTTGAATGCTGTTCCAGAGCAATATCTCTAAATATGGACAAGTACTTGTTTGATGATCAGATACAAATGTCAATCATTTTAATGTTAAAAAACCATATTCCTGACATGGTTATATTCCAGCTATATTACTATAAAATTTAATAACTAACGGGGACTGTGCCATGCATGGCTTGTATAAAGATGATTTTACAAATCGGGTTTAAATTTGGTACAAAGGCAAGATATAATGGGTTACATGTGAATATTGCTTTGTTTTATTTTGTTGACCTTCAACTGACAGCCATTAATTGTCCCAAAAATCAACTTTTAGACATGTCATTAACAGTTTCTGGAGCATGCCTCGACAATTTCATTCAAACTTGGTCTTTATACCTGTTTCATTTCATGCACATTTGTAGTTAATATGCTAAATACCAGTACTAATAATTTAAACATAATCTGACTGCTTTTTATTGTTTGACAATGTCACTAAAACATGATGGGACTATGTCATTGACATGACTTGTTTAACTGTTTTTCTGAAATGACCTGCATGGTTTCGTTCAAACTCTGTACAATAATTCTATATACTGGATTTTGATTTTTTTTGTGATTACAGTACATTGCCAGCAATGATTGATAGCATCAAAGCACTACCGGGGGTATTTACCGAAATGTACACCCACACTACTGGATTGCTGTTAGTGGTGGAATTTGGCATTAAATACAAAATGGTGACTGAGCATTGTTAATGTTTGTTTTCACTTACTTTGTGGTTATATGTAACATTCATGACAATTTCAAAGACAGGGAGGGATATAAAGTTACTGCAGGCAATAATTCATTTTTGAAAACAACGACAATTCATGTATATTCTCAAAACCCAACAAATCTGTAGGATTGATCTCAGTGTGCAGTTTAAACAGGAATAATTTGTGCAGATTAATTATTAAAAATTGATAATGGTTTTATGTAGTCCTATAGTTTGCACTGCACCTCTCCATTTTCCATATGGTTCCCATGTGAAGAATACATTATTTAATACAATACTGCCTTTATAAGTAAAACTGATTTGATATCTTCAATTTTCAGTTTTAGGGCCATGGTCTTGCATATTAAGTAGCTAATTTGCATATTGTTTCAATTCAGTCTTTGTAAACAAAATCTCAAAATTTTTTTGGATGGATTCCCGTCAAATTTGTTATATATTGGTGCAGAAAACCTGCTGGCTGATTATTTTAACCTCTAATTCTATTGCTCTTTTACTGAATGTTGTGATTCTTTCATCTCCTAGATAGGTTTTTATAAATAAATCAACATCGATTGCATATTTTGTATTTACCCAAGAGTTTTTGCAGAGTTTAACTTTGATATTGTGTTTGTTTCCAGAGTTTTAGTTTATGCTGGATCTGGGGAGTGGGTTCATTTGCCATCCAGGTACATAAATTTTTTCCAATATTATTGTTATTCTAGATT